CCCCCGACGCTCTCTCCATAAGAACTATGTTTCAATAAATATAAGCAAAAAATATACAGCGTGGTTTCATGATTGCAATTGGAAACTATACAACAATTTACAAGTATGCTTGTATTCCTTTGCGTGTAATCATTATCTAGTATTCCAACAGAGCACGCCCTACATACAGTATTATTATGTTACGAGAGCGGGGAATCCCCGTGTGTCGCGTGATGTCTGGCGCGATTCACCCGGAATTGAAAGACCGTGACCTTTCGCGAATAGTTCGCTTATGTCATCATCAACGTATGCTTGCATCGAGGCTGAATTTATTTATACCATGCTTTGATCAGAATACAGTATAGCCTACCTTACACCAATTCCTGCTTACACAGTTTACAGAACAAAGTAAACATAATACAGTATATTTTTTCAGGTTTATGCAATAATGACGCATGTACATGCAAGCATAATGTAAAAGTCTCTCTTATAATTATAGCGTACACATTAAATACAAAGTGAAAAATCATGATGAACCATAGAGATATCTCTGAGCAGTCAAATTAATTCATTTAAACTCTATGTAATTCTCTCATCGAAATGAAATTTTGCTATCGCACTTCCTTTATTTATGATGAATCATGATTATAATATTAATGATTTTGTTCCCTTCAAACGGATCGACATTCTTATACAGGAAGTAATTTTTATTGATTGGTGTTAATTTTTTAATCGCATCCGATTCATCATAAGGTAAATTAATACCATGAATTCCTGAAAGACAACTACTATGTTCAAATAATGTAAGCCTAGGCCCAGGGACGGCGATCCTGGGGAACAGGGGACTCGCCCCCCCCCCCCCCGGAAAATTTGAAAAAGTGCAAAAAAATATGTATAGCATATACTTTTTCGGCGTTGGAGGACCCATAAGTGCAGCGTTAAGATTAATACGCTCCCTCGCATAATATCCTTCAAAATGTAGGCCTACAAGTAAGTATTGTAGAAAATCTGTATTCCGTTGGTATCACGCAAGTACAGTTTACGCTATGCTCCCTCGCCCCTCGTATCCCCCCCCCCCCCGGTCATGAAAAGAAATCGTTGCCCCTGTCTAGGCCTATATATGGTATTGGTAAATAAATAAAAGCTGCTCTGGCATTGTCTACATGCAATTGCGCAACATTATGTCTGGGGAAATTGCACATAACCGGGAATTGCGAAATAATAACAAGCGTTCACATACAAGTTGTGAAATGCCATTGTTGCATATTTTACACCCCTAGCCCTCCCCCCCCCCCCCCACCTACTCACACCTCTTTTCTCTCTGTCTCTCTCACACTCACTTATACACACCTCTTCTCTCTCAAACACACGCATACACCCACGCACACATTACACATACATGTAATATTTCTCTATCTCATACATATACACCCCTTCTCTTTCTTTCTCTCACCAACAACATACACACCTTTTCTCTCTCTCTACCCCTCTCTCATATATACACACACGCACACCCACACATCTCTCTCTCCCTCTCTCTCTCTCTTTGTCTCTCTCATTCACACACACACACACACACATCTTCTCTCTCTCTCTCACACACACACACACGCGTGAAATACCTAGACTCAAACTTGAACAGACTTACACATATTTTGCCCGTCACTGTTTGTCAATGACTTGGTAGACAAAAAATACACCTGTACACTGCTGCCCATGAAGTTGGAATACTTTTTCTCGACCTCTTTTCATAAAATAATTGTGAAAATATGATTTATATATTATTTATAGATGAAGATTTATATATTCTCATAGTTTTATAGCTCTAAAGGGTCGTAGAGATTGATCAATAAAGCTCTTAGAAGATAGAAACGTTATCAAGAATAAGTGTAACAGATGTTTTTAATGAAAGGAGGTGAACAAAATATTCCAACTTTATTGGTAACATTGTGTGCATTACTGAAAATCGTTCCAATGCGTCTTCATCTCTATATCTCTCCCTCTTTTTAATGTGTTGCCTTCCTGCGTCTATCGTAAAGGGAAAGTGTGCTTTGAATGTACAGTGGTTTATCAAAAGCAAACAATTATAATAATAATGATACAAAAACAAACATAATTTATTAATTTTAATCGATAAAACGCAACTCTGTGACATACCTTTTGAGTAAATGGTACGTCCTCAATCACTTTGCAATCAGTTTTTCAATCTTTGATTTCCAACTTTAATTCAGATATACAATATAACGTATACTTGTTTTAATTTCAAAGTCAACCAAGCTATTTCCCGTTAAAGTTTTCATAACTTTTCAAGCCATGCAATGTGATAACTTATACACTTGCACATGTACATGAACTAAAACCTCAGGATTTGAGACTAACAGTACAATAACTACAATAAAGTCTACAAATTGGTTTTGAAATGACTTAATTATTTGATAAGTGATAAGTATTAAACGTCTCTATTATGACAACGGAAAGCTGTGATGCACTATATATAAAGTGATGTCATATTTTATCTAGCAGTTGGCAAAAAATCAACAAATCTTGTTCACAATCATTTGCAAACACTTGCTTGCATTCTGATGTGTAATATATTACCTCCTGATCTTTAATAGGATTATGGTCAAACATATCAGTAATATTTATATGATGGTCGCCGAAATTATACTAAAATAAAAGTATTTTTTCGTTATCGTATAAGAAAATATGTCACACGTACAATATTGCAGTTTACCTACTGATAATCAAATAATATACATTTTTGTATCTACTCGTTAAGTATATCTGTAATGCACTTAAAGTTAACGCAAGCAGTATAATACATTTGACCAAATCTCCCCACCCCCCCCCCCCCCCCCCCTACCCCCACCCCCACGCCCCGGTCCGATCATGGCAGCAAATGCGAAATTTGACACGTCACCGTTCGTTCGTTCTAAGGACGATTATCTCAAAGTTAACCTTCAGTACCAGTTGTTAGTACAAAAACATTCCGTCATCATCATAACATAATATTGTGAAAATATAATGTACGTGATAAACCAAAGTGTTCTGCTCTAATATAAACATCAAATAATAATAATAATAATAATAACCTAGGCTTCTATAGCGCATTTCATCTTCGGAGAAAATAACAATGCGCTTTACAATATAAAACAACAAAATTACACTTATTACTACTAATTTATGAACTAAAGAAATATTAAAATAAGGACAAGATTAATAATAATCAATCAGTATAAACATCAATTACAGAGAAAATGAAGGCAAATTATGGAAAAGTACAGTAATCTATTAATTTTTTATGAATACAATAATTCAATTCAATTCAGTTCAAAGTTCATTCAACACTCTTCATAAAAACATTTAAAACATACAAATATAGAATAGAGTTATAAAAAAATGTTTAAAAAACACAAGAAAGTGATAACAAATACAATGGCAATTTATAAGATGCAGTTTAAATGACATTAGAAAGCGTTTTTAAACAAATAGGATTTCAGTTTACGGATTTAAAGAAAGTTAAGTCTGTCATGGTTCGGAAGGTAGTGGGGAGAGAGTTCCAGAGATGCGAAGCTGCAGATGAGAATCTTCTGGATCCGTATGATTACATGAAATGTAAATTGTACAGCATTTTCCATAAGAATGGTACCATACACGATCAAAATAAACAAAAGAAAGAAATGCTCACAGCCAATCAAATGCTACGATTTCAGTAGCTTAAAACAGTTATTGTAACTTGTAACAAGTTTTGAAAAATGGATGTGACGTGGGGATGACGTATGGCTCTATTGAATTTGCAAATACCTTCGGTATAAAGGTTGTTTGTCATTCTCGCTTGCTATGTAACATATAACTATAAGGTGAATCCATGCATTGTGTCCCTTTCGACTTTGAACATTTATCCAATTACTTCATTTACAAATGAAAACATCTCGATATGACTTTCGACTGATGGTTCTTTTTGGTTTCATCAACATAATGAAATGGTCATATCAAGTTTTTAATTTAAATTTTTGAATAAAATGAATGAAAAAGAGGAGACACGCTATTTAAAATCACCATATGCAGGTTTCCATTGGGCAATTTTTTTTGTTATTCACTAATTCATTCATCAAATTGCAGAAAGTCGTTTAATAAAAATCATATACTTTACTTTACATGTAAAGCGGTATAGTACATAGACAGAAATATTACAATAATAAGTATGTCTACATGATACAACTTGCAGTTCTATCGATAGATTTACAAGAAAGTCCCGTATATATACAGATTGTTTCGTAGGTTTAAACAACATTTTTTGTATTTTCTCACTTTGAACAGTTACTTTATTCTGGATTCTTGATAGGATAATCGAGAATGAAATCACACACACAAAAATAAAAGGACTTCAAATAACAAAATTCACATCGCTTTTTTTGTTTCTCTTTACATCAGCAGGACAAAATCTCTATTGAAAATATCATGATAAATCACGTCACGAGAACGTGTAGTTGGTTTCTACTTCGGTACTTTGTCCCATTTGCAGGCCAAAAAATGAAAAGGTTAAATTCCAACGGCATTGGAGGATAATACTAATTTAGATCTTTCCTAAAAAAGGGGAGGGGGGCTTGAAAATGTCTTAAAATGGGAAAATAACAACTATTAGTTGTCAAATCGACTAAGTGCTACCAAGTTATTAAGTAATGGTCTGGTTTTCAGACCATTGTACCGAATGGCCGTACGTTTTGTGCTGCGCAAAGATTCAATCAGTTTAATTTTGGCCGTTACAAGAAGTGGGTTATTGATATAGACAAATGCTCATGTACCCTTTACAGCTCATTTTATGTATGTTATTACCAAAGAAGAAAAAAGCCAGTCAGTCACTCAATAGTGTCTGACAGTGAAGTCTAGCAAGTAAACGGGTTTCCTTGCATAATTTGAATATTAGGACACTGCTAACGTTTAAATTTTACAGATAGGACATACCGGTACATAACATATTCATAATTCCTGCAAATTTCTACAGAATTTGATGTTGACTGCAAAAGGGACATAGTGTCTATAAAGTTCGACAGTATACCTGTCGACAACTTGTAATAAAATGCCGAAAATTTAAACTGAATGAGAGGAATATCGGAGAAAAGGGCAAAATAAAGCTGCCTACGAGACCTACAATATTACAATACAGCATATTCACACCAAATGCTATCGAGTATTATTCATAATGCTAATTGATCAGGTCGAAATTCGCCATGTCATTAGCTTCCTCCGACCATGCTGCAAATCGCGCCCCGTCCATCTCTGAAGCAACCCTATTGCCCTCTTCCAGACGGTGACCGGTGCCCCCAATTCCTAGACCACACTCAGGGCAACTGCTTGCCTGTGTGGCGCCACCACATTCCCCAATGGCGTAGACATGCCCTTTGGGGCATTTATACCAATGACCTTTGGTCAGACCTATGGCGGCGACTATTTCCTTCCTCTCTTCCTCGGTAATTCCCAAACCACCAGACTTGGAAACGATCATCTTGAGTAGACTTTTGACTTTATCCGCTCGCTGGGCGGTCATAGCTTTCCCGTCAAAGAGCTGAAGCTCGGCGGCCTTCACCTCTTGGCTGGCTCTGTCACGGGCACCTGGTTTCTCGTCCAGGATCCGGAAGAGAGTCAGGGCTAGGTGGAGCCTCTTTGCTTCCCTGTTGGCGTCATCGGCCTGCTGCTGGGACATCCTGTTGATGGGCTCCTGGCATATCCAAGTCTGCAGGACACCCATCTCACTCTTCATCTGCTCCACGTACTGCTGATTTAGGGATGGAGATCGCAGCAATCGCAATGCTTTAGCCAGGTCTCTAATTTCTTCCAGAAAGCGGACTCTGTTTTCCAAAGCGGTGATTTGTCCATGGCTCAACGCAGACTTCAAACTGACCATGTCGTAGAATCGCCGGGCATCCATCTTTCGAGGGAAGAGTTTCTCATCGCTTGCGATGGCGAACACATCCATGATCTCAACTTCTCGACGAAGTTTTTCTTGTAGATTCTGACGGAGATTGTGGATTGTGCTTTCGTTCCCGAAGATGTTTCTTTTAACATCATTTATATCATCTAGTGCTTGTTTGATGATGTTTCCATATCGCAGATTGCGTCTGATCGGTGTTTTGCACCATGGACACTCTTTCAGCTGTCAAAGGAATCAAAAAAGTTCAGAAATGGCTTAGATATCATTTTCCTTTCAATTCCTCTTTAATGTAACACGTACGTTTTGAAAAATGGGTCGAGATTCCCATCGTTATGTTCAAATTCGTTGTACTTCTTCTTTTTTTTTTCTTTATTATTGGAGCAATGAAAAAAATTTGATTAGATAACGTGGAAATATCATAAACAATAAAGAAGCAACCTCTATTAGTCAAAAATTGTATCGAAACAGAAATGAAAAGACGTCACATATTCCATTTTATCAAAACAGCAAAAGGGAGTTATAAGCAAAAGAAAAAAATGAATAGTTTTCCACCGCGTTCTTAATGCAAATGTTTACAGAATAGTAAGACTAAATATTCACGACAAATAATTATTGGCTACCTTAATGGAAGTCGCCTCTGACGTGTCCTTGCTTCCACTGTCCGTCTTCATCCATTGGTCCAGGGCATTCGCTTCAATCACGTGCTTACAGTCCTCTAACTCTACAAACCTGAACAGGAGAGATGATGCGGGCGGAAAATGTTTATCTACGCGATTGATCTGTTCCAATTTATTTGTCACCATTAAACAAAAATATTATTGTTAAATCGTTGAAATCTTTAAAATGATGGCACACGTAACTACAAAGTACAGATTATTATATCTTCATTAGTTATCATAATTCTTTTTTCTTCTTCTTTGTTGCCTATCGACACTGTCAAGCATTTGCACCCCATTCTTCGAATGGGGATTTCATCTTCTTCCTTTCGTAACTAAAACTTTTTCACAAGATATTTTACACTTTTGTTCTATAATTATATGAACATAAACCTAAAGGATTATGACATATTTACGACACATCTTCCTTAAAATCTCTCTATTTCATGTATATATTTGCGAAAAAGAAAAAGTATATCTCACCTAGCATCATCCTCGTCTTCGTCGCCAAAGAAGATGCTAGTAACTTCCTCCTTATCACAGATTCTGCACTTCTTGGGGCATGGTTCGCCACAGAGTCCGATGCAAAGGTGGCCACACTTCAGCAGGAGTGTACAAGGGTCATTACACGCACGTCTGTCGCATGGTTTTCCACATTGTGCCCCACAGCGAAAATGTTGACATCGCCAGATGCACCTCTCTGCGCATGGGACACAAGGTTCTCCACAATTTTTCTTGCATTTGCTGTGTTGACATCTGTTTTCGCACTTCCTTGAACATGGTGGACAATCCGCAGAACATGTCGACCGGCATGGGTGACCGCAAACGAGTGTACGATCACATCTTTCTCGGCAGAATGCATGAAGACGGCCTTGGCGGCACTCGCCGCATGAACCCTTGCACGGATGTTCACAACTCAGAATCGTATCACATGGTTTTGAACAGGACTCGGGGCCAGCAGAGCATTTGACGAGGACATTATGACCACAAGGCCAGTCAGAACGACGAATCATTTCCTGGCAGACCATTGTACAGCTCTTTCCACACGGCTCCTTGCATTGATGTCCGCAATCCAGTCTCCTGCGGCATGGAGATTCGCAGATTACTTCTGAGCTGCTGTTGTAGCAAGGCACATTCTGTACGTGACCACAAGGCAGTGCCTTATCGACAGGTTTTTTGCACTGCGTGTCACAAGGCTGGTAGCACTGTTTCATGCATGGATGACATAAGGTGCAAATTGTCTGAGTACACTTTTGACGGCACTTGTAGTTTTCATGTTTCATGTCGGTGGGGTGGCATGGCATTCGGCAAACATGACCACAGGTAAGACGTGCTTCACATGGTACGGAACAACCGCCTTCTGGGACTTTTGAAAAATCCGCTTCACTTGAAACCTCATTTTGTGTCTCAGTGTGATTTCTGCACTGGAGCTTAAGGGATTTTCCGATGGTGCCATAGATTTCAGCGTCCTTCACGATTTCCCTCCACAAGCTTGGCCCAGTTGGGTTTTGTTGTGCGAGGAGTTTGAAATTTCCGATGCAGTACAGACCCTGTCTTGCTCTCGAGAGCGCTACGCAGATTCTGTTGTCGATCTTCAAGAAGCCAACACTTCCCTGCTTGTTGCTGCGAACGAGAGAGAGTAGAATTATGTCGTTTTCCTCTCCCTGGAAGTTGTCAACTGTAGCAACTCTGACACCTTCAAAGTCACTCTTTTTCATCAACCTATTAAAGGCAGAGAGTTGACCGGAATAGGTAGTCAAGATCGTGATCTTCTCTGGAAGGTAACCCTGCTGCAAGAAGTACCTGCAAAGTCCTACCAAGAACTTTGCCTCGTGAATGTTGGAGTGACTCTTCATTTCATCCACAGAATCTTCTTCTATTTCATGATGAAGGAAGAAGATGTTCTTTGTAACCCCGTGGATATCGTCGAACTTCTTCACAGAGACGTCATCTTGGAGATATGGGTACAATCTTTCCATCCTCATGAGTCGAGAAATTTCAGGCCTCATTCTATGTTGTAGAACCAGTCGTTGATAAGGTACATCATTGTTGATCATACGTTCAAACAGAGATATGTCCAGGTTATACTGCGTAGCTAATTTGAAGACCGTAGGACTTGGCCGAAGTTGTTGGTGATCTCCAATCAATATGAGATGTTGACATGACTCAGTCAATGCAGTCACAATATGGGCTTCTAACACCTCTGCCGCTTCCTCGACCACCATAATCCTCGGTTGGATTCTCTGAAGTAGCATATGGAACTTTGCAGCTCCAGTTGTTGTCATGCCAACGACCGAGGCATTTTTGACGATTTCAAAATCTTCTTGACTGCGTGCCTCGCGAAGCTCCTGACAAACATTTGTGAATTGCCGTTGCATATCCACGAGCTGACGAAGAGATTCATGGCGATGTAAATGAGCCCAATAGCGGTATAACCTCCATCGGTTTCCTTCTTCAAGATCCCAAACGTTCCTAACGGTGTTTGCCTCTTGGTCGGACATTCTTTCATTACTCCTGAGCTTTCTCTCCAAGTTGTGCTTCCTATTTCTGAGTTGCTGTCGGTCTTGTTGCCACCCTCCCGCTTCCAAGTCGTCCAGGTCGTTAAGTCGGAAAGCCAAAGTGTCATCATCGAAGTTGGCATTCGCATCGCCTGTGAATATTCTATTTCGTTGGTCGTCAACGTCCAGGCGCCTCATCTCGTCAAGGAGATGTGCCTCCTCTAAGATATCAAGCTCTTCTTCTCCTTCGGCATTTTCGTCTTCATTTGGTGGTCCGTTATCTTCAGGAACATCAAGCTCCTCAGGTGGAAGTCTCATCTGAATATCACCAAGGAGCCAATGGACGAGAAGGGACTGGCCATCTACTGCAAAGACATTTCCTTGGTTGAGGCTTCTTTCTTGTGCGTCAGTCATGTGCTTCATGAGTACTCTTTCATGAAATAGTCCCTTCCTTGTATGGTTAATCTTGTCCTGAAGGCCTTTGACTTCTCTCCCGAGACTTTCGATTTCGCCACGAACCTCTCCGATTCTACGTCTCACGTGTCGAGGTGTCTCCTGAAGCTTTGAGCTCCTGAGTGAATTGAGGTTGAACCGCTTCAGAGCCTCGCTAGAACTTCGACCACCAACTCTCACGATACCTTCACTGTTATAATCTGCAACTCCTTCCAGAAACTGATCTAAAGCATGGTTTGTATAGCAGACGAGTAGGATTGGTTTGTTCGCACGGCCTGCGTGTCCGTCCAGTCCTAGAACTTGAGCTTCTTTCCAAATACGCTGGTTATCGAGAAGAGTGTGAACTATCTTCGACCCGATGTAAGTTTTTCCAGTACCAGGTGGGCCTTGTATGACCGTCATCTCTTGAGTAAGTGCTGCTTGCACGGCTCGAAGCTGGGCCTCGTCAAGACCAGTGTTCCCTAGTCTTGTCCATTCACGACCATCGAGAATCCTCACGGTCTTCATACGCATTGCTGTGTGCTTTGCGTTTGGAACTTTATCAGAGACGATGGATGATAGGTCATATTCAATGGAGGGATCGTTCCGGATGTAGGCAGGTGGACTAGCTTTTGTTGATGCTGATATGATGTAATCAGTTAGGGGCATTGACTGCTCAGTGACATGTTGTATGCGGCTCAGGACATGTCGGTAAGCTTCGAAGTATGCTGAAGACTCTGCCATGATGAATGTCTTTTCAGTGAAGATCTCTGCAATTTCTTCGTCCCTCTCGAGCTTGATTTCAATGAAGCCTTTAGCCAAATCCTCAGGCTTTCGATTTGCAACTGTGCCGAAGATGAGGGTCTTTAAATCATCAGGTGACAAGATGACGAGTGAACCATAGATCAGTCGCTTCGAAGATTGCCATCGAACGCCTTTGAGTTTAGACTCATCGAAGTGAATCCTAAACGTAACTCCACTTTGTGAGTACAGTGGTTCGTCTAATGTTACATCATAGTATAGATGGATGTCTTGGAAGCGTTTGTCTCGTTTCCCTGGTCGAGCTGTTGCCATCTTATACTCACTAATACCTTCTCTAAGTGGGCGGACAAAGTCTTCTCGCAGAAGACGAAATTGGACGTCAAGATAATGTTCAACACTTTCATACTTTCCCTTCGTAATGTTTGCTCGAAGGTAAGGACGAAGAGAATTATCTGTCAGTTCATTAGAGGTTGGAAACACACTGTGCTCACGAAAATTATCTGGAGGAGGTGCTGTGGGTTCGATGGCCGTACGTGGCTTCTTCATTCTTTCCTCTTGGATTGTCTCATGAAATTTCACAAGTTGGCGTACCTCTTCTTGAATTGTCTCATCGACAAGTATGTTCCTTTTCTCTGCGTATCTGACAGCATCTTTAAGGAGTGACGCAGCACCTTCAACATCTGTCAAGTAACTTGGAAGGCGTTGCTGTAGCTCTGACAGGACATTTGCGATGTCATGAATGCATCTAGGCATAACCCGCAGTTTGGTCTGGCTTCTCTCGGTCCTCATCGCAAAAAGATGGATTGTTAGATGTCTGCTGATGAAGTGGTTCCTTCCGAGCATATCTAACAGCATGTTGATAGTTTCATTGGACACCTGCGCCTGGCAAACATGGTGAAAGACCTGAAACAACAGCGACATCAGGTCATAGCGTATATCCGTCATTTCTAGAAGCTTGCCCAGACCTTGCTTGAGAGAACCTAACTCTTGTACTGCGTCGTCAGGGTCTTTAGACAGGAGCTGTTCTAATGTTTTATAGCCTACTGGATAAACCACACGAGGGCCCCTCGCTTGGTTGTGGTGAGGTTCGCCGCGCCGATCCCTACATTTTTGAAAATTGTATCAAGAGCAAACACAAGTAGTCATTAAAGTTTATATTCTACGTTATTAAAATAATGAAAAGTCAATTGTATATCCTTTCCAGAAAATGTTGGTTTATGAGAAAATATCAGTCGCTTATTGATATTTCAAAGCTATGAAAAATGCAAACTTCTCACTACTTGCGTTTATATATTGTTATTCATGAAAGATGTGTGAACAACCACACCTTCCTCTTTGAACTTAGCTTCTTGTTCTCATCCCTTTTCTCCCGTTCCTTAGTCTAATACAGGGTGTACCCAAACAAATGCGAGGAGATATTAATTACCAAAATATCAAAAGTACAAAACTGTCCTCAATAAAACTTTGTATGCTATGCTGTACCAGTGTCTCCTGCAACTCGATGTGAATTTCACAAGAATGTATGGTACAACTGCAAATTTATGACTGTTTGGGTAAGATATACCAATTTCCTAATGTTATTATGAACATATACATTTTGCTCCTACATTTTACAACGAACATTAAAGTCATTATAACTTATAATTTCTTGGTGAAATTACCACTGAAACATTCCAGATTTTAAATATTGCGTTCGTAAATTGTCAAAAATATGGGTTTGAAATATATCACAAGTTCATGCAACAAAATAAAGTATTTCAAGGAGTTTTTCGTGCAAATAATTTCCTTACCATCTTCAGCTTAGTCATATTTCGATCACTATGACGTGAGCAATTTATTGTAGGAAACAACCGAGTATTGTTTTACAATATACTAACAAATTTATTAATTATTTAGCTACATATGCAATATGTATCCATTTACATATTTTCCCATGTGAGCCTATATTTTCTAAAAAAACATTTGATCATTTCAGAAAAAGGAACACCACCAAGAGATAATCAATAATATGCTTTGGTTGTACAAAGGCTCGCAAACGTTTAGTTTGTTTCTGTGACGTGGGAATAACAATGTCGGCAATTGTCCCAACAGTTCTTTATAAAAATAAAAGTCACTTTCATAAAGGTCTGTAATCATTTTCTGGAAATCCATTTTGCGTTTTATGCTTCATTTATACCTCAGGCAAACCTTCCGCGACCGACTTCGAACAAATAAATTCTTGACCATTCAGTGTAGTATACTTTCTATTCGTCTATCATAATTTAGGTGTTCTATTGTCCTTCTGAAGTCGGTGTTGTCAGTTTGACTGAGGTATCAGAGGTCATTTGAAATTGCGGCTCACCCATATCCCTCAGCTCCAGCATTGTAGGGGCCTCCTCGCCCCCCTCTTCCTCTGCCACCATGGTAACCAACCCGCTGTCCACCTCTCTCACGTTCCATCCTCCAAGCTGTGCACTTCACTTAACGTCGTCTAGAGTAAAACATAACCAACATTATGATTTACCGAGGGAAGATTATTACTTGGTATCTATATATTGTTTTATACAAATAATAACATCATATTCAATGCATACCCGTTGGCCTATTTCATTAACAAATAAAGTTTAGGTTAACACCTTATGTTTATGTTTAAATGTTTATGATTCATAATACACTCTTAGGCCTGGCCAATAAATCCAGAGACGGCTCGCTTAGCTAAGGTGTTTCGGTTTCTATGGAACATGCTCTGTCTCCAAGTGCTCCTCGGTCAATGTCAAACAAGAGCCAAGCTCGTAGCTTCGACCATATTCCCAATTGCATTTCTCATTAATAAGGGTTAATCTGGCGGTTCATTACAAAGCATAAACTATACATGTGTATCGACATGTTCTTCTCAGTACGCATATTATTTAGTTATTCCGCAGTTGTTTTTTCTTCCCTTTTACAAGCGTAAGAATAGGCCAGCCATATATTATAGATATAGTGATTGCTATGAGAGGCATAGGAAAATCACCACCGCGGACAATTGCTACCCCCCCCCCCCCCGGATAAATTCCCCTCCTCACCCCCTAAAATAACCCTCTAGCACAATTACCCCGCCCCCTGAAAATAACCCCCTTTGATAATTACTCCCCCCCCCCCCCTCAGGACGACCAAGGACAACTACCCACGAGGACAATTAACCCCGTGGACAATCACCCCCACCCCTGAAAATAACTCCCTATCAAAGCCACCCCCCTCCTGTTCATTAAAGGGGAAGTCTACCCTGATAATAAGTTGGTTTTAATATCCAAAAGAAGATTTTTTTCCGGGGGATACTTGTCCACATGGGTTAATTGTTCTAGAGGGTAATTTTCCGGTGGGATTAGTTGTCCAAATTACCATTTTCTGAATGAAGACACACTCCCGGTAGAAATGTGAAACAAGTGCTTTTTTTGTCCATCATGTTCAGACGTCCACGGCCATCAAGAATATTTGGGTTTTTTTATTGATATTCTGAGCCTTAAAATGGGGAGGGGGCGTATTAAATCCATTCTGCACCCTCTTTTCGCGTGATTAATCAAATATTTTATTATTCTATTACTTTACACTCAAAATTATCACAGGATTGTATTGGTCACAGCTCCCCCCCCCCCCCTCCCCCTCTGCCCGATAAATGTTGTTAGTGTTATTTGCGGACAACACCACTTTCCGTTCTAACATTCATCTTCAAAAATATAATGTATCATCATCGTAGGTCTTTGGTAATCCATATCCTGTTCTCGTGCATGTTCAATCGGTATTGCGCAATGTCACCATCGGATGTGTCGTATCGGATTGGTCTTGCGCAATCCGCTTACATTCTGCATCACTTAGTGAACATATTGCAATTATGTTTATGTGGGGCACTCATGTTAAATGTAGATGAGACTAAAAACTTTTTTTTTTTAATGTGGCGTTGCTTATCTTAAAAGAAAATGTTCCTTAGTGAGTGAGATACTCAACTCATATTAGGTACTGTCAATCCATTAGTCAAAAGAGAAGAGGTGGTTGAGTTTAGTGGGGTGTTAAAAATGGAATGGGTGGCTTCAGAATTTGGTAAAAGAGGGGTAGGGGCAATTACGAAATAATTGTGACAAGCATATCAATTATAAAACAAACACACAATGGTCCTCTTCAGCCAAGCTTAAAAGTGGGGTAGAGATTCCTGTGACTCACCCATCCTACCTCCCCTTTACAGAATTCGCCCTTGCTTTGGTCCAGTAAATAAGGAGGTCTCCCATAATTTTGGAGCCAACGATCTTACTTAGTGGATGGAATGCGAATTAAAACGTGTAACAAACGGTAAAGGGTGTCGAGAAGTGTGATATCATCTTCTTTTCACCGAACACCCCCCCCCCCCCTCTCTTTGTCTCCTAAAGACTACTGTACCTGTTGAGTCCCCTGTTGCGCCCTCGCCCACATTACGGGACCCATTACAATAATACTATGATTTATAATGTCTCAAGATTTGAAAAAAAATAAAACTCAATGCAAATTCGACAGGAGCCCCCCCCCCCCCCCCCCTCAAGAAAAAAAGAAGAAATTATATGTACAGAGCAAATTGGATAGAAGCTTGCTAGATATGTCACAGTCATTTGTGGCCAATTTATGTTTGATTGATCGGAACTTCACATATTCATAACTTGATCATTTTTAATCGGAATTTGCTCAACCTTTCACTGCCCTGTTCCTTAATTTTCTGTTTCTATAAAAATCAAATTAATATCAGGAAGGACTGCCCCTTTAGTAATAGCTTCGGGTCATTTCAATTAAAGCGTACCGTTGTGCTGTTGAAAGTTGTACCCTAAAACATGAATTTCAAACATAATAACGCTAAATTTTCCCTACCCTGGGATGGAGGAGACAAGGGATTAGGGATTTACAGGGGGTATGAGAATACCATGATTTTAGCACAAGTAATAAACAGAAGCAGAAGTTAAGTAATAGATAACCAAAGTTGCATAATAGTAACAAATAAAATCAGTCGAAACTCGGCCAGGCAATCAGAGAAATAATTTGTATGATTTTTTAAATGTGAAATTCAAAGAAGATCCCAAATATGTCAACT